TGCAGGTCAGGGGGCCAGCACCCCAGCACCTCCCCAGCCTCACCGCCCTGCTCAGCAGTGCAGACTCACCATTGTCCCTGAGATCCGAGTGGGGGTCTGGACAGCAGGTCCAGCTTCCTGTCTGTCAGCTGCACGTGGTCCTACCATTATGTTCCTTCTCTCTGAACCACCAGGCCTGGGACAGAGCTGCAACTTTGAGGTCCTCTAGGTCTGGCCCCTTGACCAGGGGAATAGTCCACCACCCCGAGAGAGTGACCCCATGACCAGGGCAGGATGGTCCATCAGCCCTGTGGAGTGACCACATGACCAGAGGATGATCTCTCACCTGAGAGTGACCCCATGTCCAGGAGGGTGGCCCATCACCCTGTGAGAGTGACTTTGTGCCTGGGGTGGATGGTCTGTCACCCCTGTATGAGTGACCCAGTGACAGGGGAAATGACTGTCACTCCTGGAGCCAGCCACCTCCTTTGTCAAGGTCCAGAGGGAGCATAGCCCAGAACCTGTCAGCGGGGAGCCCTGTGGAGGGCAGATCGAGGCTCCTGTCTCCTCGATTTTGAGGTCCCCTCTCTGTTTCCATCTGCGTCAGCTGGGTCCTGCCGTGTGTATCTGAGCCCTCTTGGCTGGGGGACCTTTGTCCACTGTGGATCTATGTGGCCTTCACTCCTGGCCTGGCTGAATACCTCTGTCCACTGTGGGTCTGTGTGGTCGTCACTCAAGGCCTGGCTATACGTGTCTGAGCCCTCCTGGCTGGAAGGGCATGTGGCCTTCACTTGAGGCCTGTCTAGGGACCTCTGTCACTGTGGAGCCGTGTGGCCTTCACTCAAAGCCCAGCTGGTGGGAGAGGAGGCTGCTCTCAGCATCCAGGGGGCTGCTTTGCCCCTTGTTTAAGTGGCTGGACTCCCTGCCAGGTGTCCCTGTGGGATGACAGGGCCATCACCCCGAAGACATCCCTGCAGGTGATCCACTTTGGTTCTGGGGGGAAGGTCTTGTGGTTGGAGAAGCTGGACAAGCAGACGAAGTCGTGGGGTCTTCACTGAGGGGCTCCTGCTATGTGGGGTCCACAGTGAAAGGGATCAGTCTAGCATGTGGGTGTACTTGCTGTGTGTGGGTCCTCTCCATGTGGGGCTCCTGCCATGAGGGGTCCACACAGAAGGGATAAGTTCAGCATGTAGGTGTACTTGCTAGGTGTGGGTCCTCTCCGTGCAGGGGTCCTCGTTGTGTGGGATCCTCATTGTGTATGAGTCCTCGCCACATGGGGGTCCTCGCCACATGGGGGTCCTCGCCACGTGGGGGTCCTCAGCAGGTGGGGTTTGCTCCCATGTGAAGGTCTTTGCCATGTTGGGGTCCTCCCTGTGTGTGGGATTACTCCCCATGTGGGGGCCCTTGCCCTGTGGGGGTCTTCTCTGTGAGGAGTCCTTGCTGTGTTGGGATTACTCCCCATGGGGGTCCTCACCATATGGGGGTCCTCTCTGTGAGGGGTTATTCCTTGTATGTGGGTTCTCTCCACGTGTGGGTCCTACCTATGTGTGGGTCCATCCTGCCCAGAAGTTTAGATTGCCCACTGGGGCCCAGTCACCCCTGGCCACACTGAAGCAGTGTTCCGAGTCCTGGCTATTGGACTCTGGGGCTGTGTTCTTAGTCAGACTGAGGGTGGGGCAGATTTGGGGAACCCCAGGCCAGGGTCCTTAGAAAACCCAGGGCTAGTCCAGCTTTTGGGGTGAGGCAGAATGCTTCTCCCAGGGCATAGGGGTGGAGCAGGCAGAGGGAAGCACCCCACCGTCTCAGGATGTAACCATGCCTCAACAAGGCCACTCCTGCTGTACCTGGCCAGGTAGCCACCATTGGAGCTGGACAGTGGACAGTGCTGGCGTCTGTTCTCGGACCTCAGTTGTCCAGTTAGGTGGGGCCCTGGAGGTCTGTGCTCCCACACAGGGTCCTAAGCCCCGTCACTGGATCACAAGGGCATGATGTCCTGGTGATGGCCAGGACTGACCTTGAGCTGTCCCCACCCTGGGGCACAGCTCTGCGGGTGTGCGGCCAGTGCCTGGTGTCTGGCCGCATGTCTGCCCACGTGCAACCTTATCGAGTGCCCACAGCCTTTCCTCCAAGAGGAGTGAAAACTGACCACTGGGCAGGGGGCATGGGAAGGACACAGCTAGGCTCAGTGTCCTCTGTGCATCTCTGGGTCAGGCTTGGCCCATGCAGGCTGGTCTGTCCACCCTTCCCCACAGGCCTCAGCTTTACTGGGGGGCTGCTCTCCTCCTCCAGACCTCCACCATGCCCTCAGCTTGAACAGGCCTGGGGTGGACAGGGGACCTGGGGTGGATGGGGCGCATGGGTGGATGGGGGGCCGGGGTGGATGGAGGGCCTGGGGGAATAGGGAGCCTGAGGTATATGAGGGGCTTGGGTGGATGGAGAGTTTGAGGTAGATGGGGAGCTTAGGATGGATGGGGGTGCGGCTGGGTGGATGGGGGACTTGTGTGGATGAGGGCCTTGGGGGGATGGGATCCTGGGAGGACTAGGGCAGGTGTGGGGGGTCTGTGGTGGACAGAGGCCCCGGGTGGGTGGGCATCCTAGGGTGGATGAGGCCCTGGGGTGTACAGGGGGCCTGGGTATATGAGGAGCCTGGGGTAGATGGGGGGGCCTGTGGTTGACAGGGGGCCTGTGGTGGAGGGGCTGGACAGGTGGCAGGCTGGGGTGGTGGAGGGCCTGAGGGAGGTGGACCTGGGGTGGATTGGGGGCCTGGGGCAGGCAGAGGGCCTGAGGGGTGGGGTGGGCCTGGGCACTTCGCAGGCTGGGACAGTGAGGGAGCACATGCCAGATGTGTTGTTTTGCTGGGAGGTTTCTCATCTCCCTGTGGAAAGGTCAGGGCTTGGGTCTGCCCCCTCCTGCTCTAATGTGTGAGCTGCCGCACTCTCGGGAGGGCCTGCTCCAGACAGGAGTATGTGTGTTTTGACCGCAGAGCTGTCCTGGCCCTCAGGGGTGTGCAGACCCAGCACTGGGGGGTGGCCGACTTGTGTGAGCCCCCAAGGGTGGAGGAGGCCTGACTGTCCTGCTGCCTTACTGTATTGGAGGAGCCATGTCCTCTAGAGGTCTGGGGGTGGCAGCACTGTCAGCTGACCCTCAGCCACTGCTGGCTGACCAGGGCTCCTGTGGGACTTGCCAGCTCTCTCAGCACCCTGCCTTCCTTTCCGCCTGTTCCTCTTTTCAGAGGGCAGTTCAGTCCTCCTCCATGACTTGGCACCTGTGGTCTACCCCGTGCTGGAAAACCTGCCTGCAGATTAACTGGTGGACACTCCTTGGGAGTGTGGTCATCCCTGGCTGGGGTGCAGGGTATGAGGAGGGCAGGGACCACCCCAATAAATGGGACAGGTGTGAGGCAGGATGGGTGCCAGTGCTGGGCTCCCAGCTGTCCCGCTGGACCTGCCCAGGACCAGTTCTGAGGCCAGGCCCACTGGGAAGGATTCGTGGTACGCATGGGGTAGGGGAGTGAGGGGTCCAGGTGACCACCATGCTCTGATTTATAGGCAAAGGAGAGCACTGGAGGGGCCACACCAGAGAGGAAGGCACTGCTGGCCAGGAGGCCTGCCCATGACCAGCATGTCCTGCTGCCCACAGGGTCCTGGTGACCCCAGGGAAGCTCATCTGCTTGAAGGTCATATGACAAGGAGTTAGAGTAGCATGTGTGTTCATGGGTGCACACATGTGTGCATGTTCATACATGTAAGAGTGTGTTAATGTGTATGCACAAGTGGGTCTCCACATGTATACATGTGTGTAAAAGTGTGTTCGTGTGTGTACAAGTGCACAAGTGTGCACAAGTGTGTGTGCCCGTGTGCATCCGTGTTCATGTGTGTACCCATGCACGTGCTCGTCCAC